TGCTATGAGAAAATATCGCTCATTGGTCAATTTGGTCCTTTAAAAAAATTCTGACTTTCAAACCAGTTTATTGATGAAATTTTTGGTATGTCGAACGGTATTGACCTTCCGATTTTGACCTGAATTAAATTTCGTCATAATGCTATGCTAATTAATACTTTTGACGCTGTTAGAATAATGTTAGCTAATTTTAGATTACTGTATTGATGCTGTACAATTGTTTCCAAAATTCCTATATGCGTTTTCAACGAGGGTAAAGTTTTACTATTGCATGAATATTTGGCACCAGCTATGCTGTGAGTGAACCATAATGGATGCCCATTTATTGTTCACACACACAAACCACTTAAGGTATATCAAAAATATTGCAATATATGTGATACGAGTATCACAAAAGTTAATTCACTTAAGGGGAAGGGATCTATGACCGAATTAAATATACAAATCGATACTCTAATTGCCTGTTGCACTTTTTGCAAGATTCGAGACAAAACAAATTAAATAATTGGTATTTTTGAATCAGCGGTGTTTTCTCCATGTGCAGCTATATGTTGGCTAATCTCGGGTTGAAACTTCTGAAAGACAAAATATTATGGTACGAAATAATAACACTACCTCTCATATAGTGTGCAGAGAAGTTTTGAACAATTGTAATAAACGTAATTATAATTAATCATAATCATTTCATTCACTCATTTGAAACCCAGTAATAAAGCCAAATTAACATGCAAATACATAAGTACTTATGAGGTAAAAATATAACCCTTCTTTTGGCAAAACCATAGATACTCATAGTTTTATCACAAGTAAAAATGTTTACCATCCAACAAAGTGAGTAAAAAAAGTAAAGTCATCAGCCTATGCATGTCCTACTGCTGGGCAAAGGCCTCCTCTGTACAGAGGATATTAGGTACATATATTCGAATTATTTTTTTATTGTTAATAATTTATTGAAAATATGCAGGTTTCTCGCGATGATAATGCCTAATGATTCATGATGATAATTCAGTACTTGATATTAACAATTTCATTGGTGAGGAGCACCGAGTACTGAACTCAGATTGCTCGAGTATATTGAGCTTAAGGCTCGGACACTGAGCTATCACGGCTCTATCACAAAGTGGGTGCGGATCGCTAATGAAAATGAAAAAAAAAATGAAAACATTTATTAATATATATATGTTTACAATTGATACAATACTAACCCCCACACTAGGCAGCGTGTCCTATGGGGGAAGTTAATGATTTCCACAATTTTGTGTCAGCACACGGTAAACACTATTTGAACCACTTGGAATGACAAAAAAAAAAAGAGAAAGTAGTATAATAGAGAGTTATTATACACCTGTTCGCGTGATGTATAGTGTGATATATTTCAGTTAGCCAAATCCTTTGCCCTATCCCAAAGTACCACGGACACTGACATTGAGGGCTCATTTGATGGTAATCAATGTAAAATGTTTATTTAATTTTCTTTTAGTCGTCGATGAGCACGGTTATTTTTTTTTTTTGGGCTGGATGAGCCACTGTTTGCCTTAGGGGCCCTCACAGATCCGACGAGCTTGAGGTGGCCTGGCGCACGGGGCGCCCAGCCTGAACCTCACGGTTAGTGTATCGTATCATTCGCTAACCGCGGGTTTTAGATGCCTTATTGATAACTTCCAAATATTGAATGACGTAACCGAAGTATATCTTTGGCGATTTCCAATTTGCATTCGAACTTCAATAGAATACATAAATAACAATATTCAATAGAACGAAAATCTTAACGTCTGATGCGCAAACATTGCTTCAAACGCTATGCTAATGTAGATAAAAGACGTTAAGATTTTCGTCGGTGTGGCAATCAGCCGTTTAGCTTAGTGGCTTAAGCGTCAGGCCGCCAATGCCGAAGACGTGGGTTCGATTCCCACAGCGGCGACGATCTTTTCGTACTTATTGTACAAATTTTAATGTTTAATCTTAAGACCAGAGATTAGCACTATAAAAAACATTAAATCTCTGACTGACATAAAGCACAGTCAGGGTCTTGAATAGTATGTCTTGAACGTTTTTATCAATGATTTTATGTTGGACGTAATCACAAAATAATGTTGACTTTAAGCGAAAACTTTGAGAGCGTGCGCCGTGCCCGCAATTTCCAAAGACACAACGACAATTCTTATCTGTGATTAAATGCCAGGGTTATAATTAGCTCTCGTTCTAGAGTATTCCTTAATAGGACGTCATTAAACATTTAAGACTGTTATAATGGGAATTGGGGCATTCAATTCGAGTCCATATGAAGAAACACCAGACCAGGTCACGTCCACCAGCCATCCTTTCAAAATTTCGAAAATGTCCGAGACAGGCGTTGATTACGTAAAGTCTATTACTGAGTTTATTTACTTTTGAGAATTTTTATTTTGCAAACATTTTGTGTTAAATTGCATTTGCTATTTGTTATAATTATAAGACATAGAAAAAAGAGACGGTTGTTTATTGCTTAACGTATTTATTCATCGAACAAAAAATCATTCCTACTAATGGACGAACTTTAAAATATTTTAAAGTTTTACCAAGCAAACACCTGCCAAGGACATCAGAATCCTGAATTTTGAACCTTTTTTTGTATGAGAATGTGGCAAGCTAGCTGGCATTTCACCTGATATTAGTTGTTGACCGCCGCCCATTGTCAGTTGCAACTCGCGTAAGGTTGTAGATGCGTTACCACATTTGAACAAAGTTAGCCCCGGCTACCTCAGTCAACAGACGAAGCACCGAAGTATAATACTTCCACTTCACGACCACATCGGATTAGTTAAATTCATCAGTATAATTTTGTATATTGAACAGTAAATAAATACATTTTCTAAAAATGTTAAAACTTCTTGCAAAGCAACGTTTACAGTGACCATTTTTTATACTGTAAACATTTTATATAAATGCAAAAGAGTTAGACTTAATATTTTTATTTAGAAGTTAGAAAATTAATTTTATGGTCTTTCGTGGGCAAACCATAAAACGTTTTATTAACATAACGAAGTGAAATGAGTTTTCTAAAAGAAACCGCACAAATCTGTTGTTTTCTTAGGGTACGCCCCTCCAAACAACCTGACCGGTGTCTTATTCCAGTCTATAAATAGGAGAGAGTTTTTCTCAAGTATTGAATCTTGAAGTGAGCATCGCTTATAGTTTTGCGTAATAAATTCGATTCCAATATTTTTGTCTTTTACTGGCGAAACTATGCGTGTTAGATCGACGCTTCCATCTGGTTGAACATACAATACATGATCCTTTGTTTCAATTCTGGTACAAACTTTTGGCCCAGGCTGAGGTGAAACCTTATTATTCACTTTGTAACTTTCGATTTTGTTGTCCAAATGACCTGTATCATAAAGATTTTTACTGTTATCTTCTTTGTTGACTGTAGAAAGATCCCTCAAAGAATCTTCTGGGTGCATATCTTTATTAATAATACCTAAAGTATTTGGCAAACTATGTTTTAACTTCTTTTTTGAACGGTTTATTTTATCTGAATGCTTATGATTAAACTTGCGCTTCGGCAGATAACCACGATTATATTTAAGTATTGAAAAGGAATCATTTCTATTCGATTGATTGGATACTTCCTTGGCGAGGGCGCGCCCCTGTGATAAACTAACATCTTTTGGGCTTATCAGTAATTTTCGAAAGTCATGCTTGTATTTAAGTCGCACTGATGGAAGTTTCTTGTTTGCTTCAGATATATCTGTGTTTTTTTGTATCGTACCAGAATCCATGTTGACACGGTGCGGGGTAAAGTCATTGTTGAAAGTTTGTACATTATGCCATTTATTCCCTTGCGTAAGGCTTCTTGTAAATATGTCGCTTGTATTTAATCCTGGATTGAAAATCTCATCGGAACTGTTATTTAAGTCATCGCCAAAGTAATCCATGGATTTGATGAAAGGTAAAATCTTAAGAATATTATTTTTTTTGGTTTCTTCAGAATTTAAAGGATATTTAGGTAGTTTGCCAATAAAAGAAGTTAAAGGCCTTAAAAGATGTTTTTCAGTATCTTCACTCATTTGATAGTCCGTTACTTCGTTCCTAATTTGTCTCTTACACCTTGGCGGGGTGAATATCATGGTAGAATTTTTAAGAATGACATCGCCTTGTATTAGGTCAGTTGATTCATGTTGTTTATGGAAACAGGCCTTTGTACTATTTTGATTATATACGTTTTTTAATACTTCGCGTTTATCAAAACGTTTCTCCTCAAAGTTTTTCCTCTGAAATTTAAGTGGAAAGTGGACCTTTGTCGTCTTAAAGTCCTTAGGATTTTGAAAGTTCTCTGATATTTTTACGAGTGGCTTGTTTATTTGCATTTTGATTGGCTCCTTATTATAGAAGTTGATACTTTTCAGATAATTTAAAACGCTACCCGCCAGTTTTGAGCTAGTCCATTGACTATAATCGTTTAAAAAATTCTCTGAAGTCGTAGATGTTATTTCGTCTGACCCTATTCTTTTACTTTTACTTAAATTAAAAATATCGTAATTGAAACTTTCATCTAGTTGATCCAAGTTTTCTTTCGGATTTTTATGTTTCAATGGTCTTGCATAAGTATTTTTTCGCTCTGAAGGAGATGCAGTGCTCCAAATTGATGTAATTTTCGTATTGCTTCCTATTGTACTAAGATTAACTGTGGTGATTTTAGATTGTACTTTTGTTTTACTTTCTTCTGTATGCACTAAGCTCCAAAAGTTAATTTTGGACTTGTCCGTAGTACCCGTGTAATCAGCCACCGAAAAATCTAAAGTACTTTGTTCATTTTGTCTATATAGCAATTTAGGGTGTGATGATGAAGTTTCTGGATGATTTTTTTGTTCACTAAAGCTAAATGGAAAGGAAAATTTTAGAAAGTATTGAGGTTTTTTTGTAACTGTAGGTTTGGCACTTGTTTCAAAATTATTTTTTATCACTTTAGAATCTAGTTCACCAAGTACGATGTATTTTAAATTTCTGTTACCGATTACCCTATTTTGTACAAATCTTTTCTGCTCGTACAAAGGATCCTTTTTTAACGTGTGATTTCTTTCTATTGTCGAACTTAAAAGCATATTTGCGCCGAACACTTCGCCCTCCAAGCCACTTGGTATCACTGCAAAAAATAAATCTTTAGTAGTTTTCATTCTTTACTCTTTAGAATTTAATGATTTTGTATTGAAATGAGGGGTTACCGTTGCTAGAGCCGTATCCAATTATTACACTTCCACCTCCAGGTAACACAAAATCATATAGCTGTAAAAATGGTTAATATTTAATGAAAAACTCTTTAGTTTATTTTTTCTCAGGAGCCATGGGCTTTTTTACATATGGACAGATAAAGAATTGATTGTAGGGGCAATAAATTCTTAGTCAGTACATAAGTCTAAGTTGTTACGTATGTTGATGGGACGTGCTTTAAGTTACCTTGATATTTTTTGACCTTCACAATTTTATGACGTAATTCTATGTTTATAATTTACAATACTAGTTGCTACGATCTCCTTTATTAAAAAGATCAATAAATATTTTTCCCATATACTCAACAATACAATAATTTACCTTTCTACAACTAATTTAAACATTTTACAAAACACTGCAAAAACTGATACGCACATGAATAAAATTTATATTTACATTAAGAGAATATAAAACATAAAGATAAACATAATACGAAAAGAATTTTATCGAGTTTAAAAAAATGAAGTCAGCAAACTTACACTTTGCATTGTCTCACAATTCACCAGTCTTCCATCGAAATAAAGGGCCCATGCTCCGTAATCGGATTGATAGGACAGACAAATATGCCTCCAAGTATCCCGGGCAATATCCACGGAGATTATCGACGGCGTTTTTTCATTAATTGAAACTTTGATAAAATGTCCTCCAGAGTCTAACCAAAGTCTGATAACTCGATTGCCATTTACTGGAACAGGAGCGTTAAAGAGTTTAATCTAGCAAAACTGTGAAGCAGTCAATCAAGTTCTGGTTAGCTATGTATGTAACCTCCATACTCAATTACTGGAAACAAATCGAAACACGTTTACAAAGTTATGCGATAATTGTAATTCAAATGAAGTGTATTAATGGAATGTATCAGTCATTAAGGCGATCAAGGAAACTTATAGTTTAAATTTTATTAAAACAACTGTAAATAAACGCCTATTTGTCGAATATACCCTCGTTATTAAATAAAACGCAAAAACAGTACTCAGAGTGCCGGTTGATGGATGGTTAGTGAACTAAAATTATCGTTACCCTTGGAAAGGCAATGTTGCGCGAAATTCACGCAGGGATAACAAATTTTTATGCCACATTGCTCTTCACCATGTTCACAATTTCAGTCAGTGTGCCATCGGCAGGAGAACCGCGCACCTCGTGCTTTCAATACTCTAACGGCCGGTTTCTGAAATACTGATCATCGTAGATGTCAACTAATCAGCTGTCAAATGAATTTCAAATTTCATTGTAGTTGCCAAAAGAACGTTTAAACTCTTCGAAATGATCATTCTGATCATTAAGAAAATCATTTTAGTCAATTCACAGAGTTTAACCACCCTTTTGGCAACTAAAATGAAATTTGAAATTCATTTGACAGCTGATTAGTTGATATCTACGATGATCAGTGTTTATGAAACCGGGCGTAAGTGAGTTATTACGTTACCGATTGTATCAAGTAAGCGCTTCCATAACAAACAATTTACTTACAAACCAGTTTCTTTGCGAGGAAAATCTTTATATCAGGTTTGTTGACATAGTCTCCTTATGAAATTTATACGACCTTAAAATTTTTGTAACGGTAGAACAGAACCAAGATCAATACACGACCTTAATCATTCACTTGATCGGCAACGGACCGTTTTCAATATTCTATCTGTCTGTAGATTTGGTTACTAGCGATAGGTATTTGATATTAGCTCCATAATGTTTACATCAAAATTTTATCTGCAGTAATATTACCAAATCTATTTAGAATTTTAAAATCAGGCGTTAGTCCATTATAATGATACACTTAAATTTTCGTGCAGTTTAGAGTTCGCCCTGTTTATTTGAGATAGATTTTTGTGAGTTTTTTATCGTATTAAAAGGTTAGAAGTAAATTTTCATAAAAACATTATTGAACGTAATTTTAGCGTTTAGTTAGTTGGAATATGTATTTATGGGATTTTTAAACTCAATCAAATCAAAATAAATCCCCTCCCCAAGATACCCTAAGACAAATCACCTTAGAAAGATATATTAGTATTCCATATCAGCACAGTTTCTTTTCAAAAGCCTGGTTAACTTTGGAGTACTGTTGCCATATTTTTGCTAGCATCGTTAAAAACAATCAAACCCATCGAGGTTACATGTCATACATACTCAGAAGAATTAGTTAAAATGTTGATTCCTTTCCATCTTAATGAAAGTAATAAAAATCAAAATGTTATTTAATTTTACGCCACATTTTACATCTCATTTATGTATCATTATGATATTGGCTCGTGGCATTTTAGGTTAGGGTTTATTAAACAATGATAGATACCAAAGTCCCGTCCGTTTCACGGTCTTATGCTGCTACACAGACCGTCACTTACTATTGTTATTTTGTTTGCTTATTTTTATGTTTACATTTATTTTAAGTTTCTGTGTAGTTACATTATTATTTTTAAGTTTTGTGTGTATTCATTTGTTTTAGACCGTCAATAAACGTTTCTTCTTCTTCTTCAAAGTGAAACTGGTAAAGTAAATATGTGCCGAAAGTAAACTTATGACTCACCCACGTAAGAGAACAAGCCCTGCTCATTTTCGAGTTCGTATAATCGTATCCAAGTGCAAAACGTGAATTCACGAATCGGCGGTGTGTCGATGTCGTATTGGATAAACTGTAAAAGACATTGTCACAATGTTTACCACATGCTTTATTTTAGCACTCACCATTTCTTAGTTCTCTTTAAAGTTTATTTATTCATATTCGGCGACGTTTCTTATAAATAACGCCCTTGTAAAAATAAAGTTATGATTTATTCTATAAATTGATAAAACACATTACAACCTGCGAAAATCCTTTTTGGGTGAGAACTATTTTGTACACAGGCCTGTTGATGCTATGGCCCGATGCAAAAATACTTATCACTGTAACCATGACCGACCACGACATTTTTCCAAAAGACCCTGAAATTAAATATACCTTATTGAGAATATAAACACGTTGCCGTTAAATGTGGCATAAGCTCGACTTTTAAGCCGAGATGGCGCAAGAAGGCGATAGCGTTGTTAGTCAACAATGACCGTTCGTTTTTGCGAATTTTTGAAACGCTTTTTTTATTATTTTTTTATTTTTTTTCTTTTTATTTATTTATTTTTTTATTTATTTTTTTGGGCTGGATGAGCCATTGTTGGCCTTAGGGGCCTTTACAGATCCGACGGACTGGAGGTGGCCTGGCGCACGAGGCGCCTAGCCTGAACCTCGGCGGACGCTTTTTGCAAACCGGCATGTTTATATACATGATATAATTCTGCAAATCCACGCTGAGGACACATGAATACCGTCATTTGCAATTACATCCTCTGTACATAGAAGGCCTTTGCCCAGCAGTAGCTTATATTTATATGGGCTTTTACTTTGTTTTTAGTTATTCTTATGTAAAATTTGACGATTCATAAGAACGCGCAAACGTCTATTTGAATAAAGATAAATTTGATTTGATTAGTGTTTTTGCTTGTAGCCAGAACGACTGCAACTACCTTAATGCTTTAGATAAGTACAAATAAGCGTAAAAGGCAGACGACGACCGGGAATTCTCACTGAATATACATACCCTGCTTCTTGCAGTAACGAGACCTGATGAATAAAATAGAAGAATATTTACACTCTTTTAATAGTTTGGTAATGATAAACACTAAATTCGAGCAGACAAATATTAAATTCTGTCGAGTGAACACACCAGATGATTGAAATTTTTTACTTCTTACAAGTTGTGTCCATGCCTTGCAACTAACTCTATAGCAACTGGCATTTAATCGTACGGCTGCTGTTGATGTAACGATTTCTTATTTGTAAACATAGCAGACATTTCATATAACAAATTTTAGAGCCATGAGTATGCACAGAGTAAAGGAATCTATAAAAAAGATATGTGCATGAAATGGACTCTTGTGGACTTTTTGCTTTATATACCATAATTTACCTTGTTGCACGATCTTTTCTATTCTCGGACATGTTAATATATTCGTTTGAAAATTATGAGTATTTATAAAACCAAGCGATAATCTTCTTTTTGATGAATAATTAAAATTTTCTGTTATATGTGTTCTACTAAATCGCAGCTAAGTTGACATATTTTCTTTATTTTAATTTCTTGGACGCCATTTAACTTTATCGTCAATTTACTTCGCGACTTTTGTAAATTTAGATTGTATTCATTTCGTTCAAGCATGCACAATTCAAACAGATTCTCTTACAGATTGTTCATATGCAGCGTTTCGTGCGTACACATTGTAAGATACCGATAAGACATTTTGTAACGAACCGCGTTCAGGAAACTATTTAAGTTTACATCAATTCGGATCCAGTCCTTAAAGCGGCCGCTTTTGAGTCAACCTCCATGCTACCTGAGATGACGCGATACATCACGTCATCAGTGAACAGCATAATAAGCAATGAACAATCAATAAAAACATTAAGCACAGGCATTTGAAATATCTACAGTCGACATAGGTTTTTTTGTGTGAATTATATGTGTATATTTTTGATAACCTATTATGGCCTATATTTTGGAGGATCTAAAATTATGGTTGTATTATTTAAATTATGATTTTAATGGAATGGTAAGATATTATTTAGGACAAATTTTTACGCAACGTTATCTATTCCCAAACTAAGCAACGCAAGAAAGCAACGCATACTTTTTCTTTTGTAAATAAATACGTATTATAGATATATACACCCAGACACTATAAAAACACTTTTTTCATCACACAATATTTTTCCAGTAGTGGGGATCGAACCCACACCCTCCGGTTCGGGAGGCAGGTACACTACCCACTACGCCATTCGTTTTTTTTTTTCCAATAAGATGCTTCTCTTAATTTTATGATTGGTATTTGGACACAAACAGCTAAGATTTGCTAGTGGTTTTCAAATATTCGTTAGGTTTATTTATCCTCATCCAGTGTAAGAACATTTTTTTTAAGGTAATCAAATTAAGGATCTTTTGAAAATAAAGATGTGATCTTAATGCCCGTGTCGATCTCTGGAATCATCATAGTAGATCGCCCTGACGGATGTTCGGATTCAAAATTTCCCATACAACTATTAGGTTAAGGCGCCAGCGTACTACATGGGAACGGCAGCGCCGAGCACGCTGCCGCGCGGTGGAACTATGCTGCGAGCGTTCTCACCTGCAGCGCCGCCTGTGCCCGCCGACCGCGTCAAGACCATCCCGGCGGCCGGTAACAATCCCCACCGTCGCTTAGTCGATTCGATATCTCATTGCCAGCATCACTACGAATACAGTCATCTAATTACGTCCATTTTGTACCGCTAGTAATTCAGAAACTCGGATGGTGTCAATATTAGTTTGGAGAACGTGTGATCACATTGCCCAACTAGGGTCTGTCGCATTCGGTACAGACGATTGTGTGTATCCCCCAGTGCCGACCAAGCCGTTACGCTCGTACGTCCCAGGCACTGGTTCGGAGCGATGTTTCCCATTTGCTGTCGCCGACTGTCCTCGGATGACAGAGCAGCTTTACTCCGTCACTGGTAACCAGAGTATCGGCATAAATATGTTAATTTCGCTTGATAAATCTTAATTTGCTTGAAGCTTACTGTCGATACCTACTAAATTGATGTGCCGCTAACAGTTGTGACTTGACATTGATTTTTTTTTTAGAGTATTAATGTATACTTTGACGTACGTTTGCATTACTATTTACACGTAAAACTTCTCGTAATTTGGCAGCTCCTCTTTATCACTTTTCAAATTCGCATTTCGATTTTCGATTTACAAGAGCCGTTTTGTTCGGACCGCCATCTCAAAGCTTCTCTCGCTTTTTAACGAACATTTTCAGGAATTCTTTTCCTGCCTCTCAACCAACCAGACCACTGACCAGATTACAAGCGCACATAATTTTTCGCATGCTTCTTAATAATTCACGAATAAAAATACGTGTGGTTGTATTTTCTTTATTTATTAAGTGTTTATTTTTTATATGTTTTATAGTAACAGGCGACATTTACTAATGTTCGTGTTTCCAACATTTTCATGGCAATATTAAACTTTTATAACGATTTCTTCCGAAGTTTTATCCAGTTTCGTTCTTTTATATAAAATATCATTAAAGTTTGTGGAAAAATTGCAAGAATGTGACAAGTACAAAGAATAAGCACGAATAAAAATTTTAAGTTAAAACTCCATGCATTAGAAGTAATCTAATAAATAATTAACCGAGCTTAGTGAGTCCGTCTTATTAGGTTTCTAAATTTCCTTTCGTAATCCACTTACTGATTGGAATACAGGACTCGCTGGGGACGGCTATGTGTCATCCCCAGAACGAAGCGTTGGTCGCCCGCCGTACGAAGATCCATACTACACTCAATACCTGGGGCCTGCCGCTGGAAGGCCTAATATCGCGCCCGTCATCGACGAGGAGGCTGGGTAAGTTATATTTTGTAATCGAATAAAGTCCATTGCCTTCCGAATGTTCATTAACATGCAGATGTAGACCGAACACCGAGCTGGTAATAGAATTAAATGTTAATTGAACATTTGCAGTGAAACTGTAATTGTCGACGATTCATATCAGTTGTATGGCGTCAATGCCATAACTACCGCTCCGCGACCAATGCCTCGCCCGCCGTTCGATGCCAGGTAAGGTATCTGTAACATGCTTTTAAAAGCTAAAGCTAAATATAAGGTATACCATACGAAAAATCAAACAATAATAGCCGACGAATATGAAGATGCCGTCGACGAACATGTATTGATATCGATACTTTATTTTATTATGTTACATCAAACGCTGTGCGTTATTGTGGCCACAATACAAAACCCTATAGCTTTGCGAGTTTAAATAGCACCGTGCGAATAGTTTTATGTTGATCTTTACATAACATAACAATTATTCTGTTGCAAGTTTCCCAAATTTGTGTTTTAGGATTGTCGTCATAAAATTAAATTTTGCAGGCTCAATACGCAAGTTGATGATATGCAGCGCTTGCGCGTCGAGAAAATGGAGCGCCAACTTGCCAACCTAACTGGCTTAGTTCAGAAAGCTCTACAGGTGCCTGGCACCGCAGCTCCGGTAGTTGCCCCTCGACAGGAGCTTCCGACGTACCCGCCACGAACTGCAAACCAAGGTAAGATTTACTGTAGTAAGCGATATAAAATCAACTTTGACAGATAGCTTCGTGGTCAATTTGAATATAGGGAATATCCCGAATGATTTTAATGAAGTTTCAACAATGAAAAACCAAATGATAGAAGCCACCGCGTTCACGACTCACCACAATAATCCTAGGCTTAACATGATTGCTAAGTACGTTAACAAGGCCTGCGTTTTCCTGCACTCAGATCCGGTGAGATTTGCCAGCGACGAGAAACCTCCCAAATTAGGGAGAGACCGATTTCGTAAGTTTAACTGAACGCGTTCAAATCAAACGCCAATGCATTGCAAACGGTCAAAGGTTTTTTTTTTCGTTTCTGACTTTTAACAATCATTTCTTTCTTGAAGCTTAGTAACACTGTATTGTAGTCAGTATTTCTTTAATTATAGTCACCAATTATTTTTTGTGTAATTCAATGTAAACGTAAAATTTTATGGTTTACCTAGCGAATGCTTACAATTTATTTTGTGTACCAACCATACCACTGATCGAATTTTATTCATTTTATGAATCGGTTGATTTGGCAATGAAATAACTGTAATGCGATATCATAATATGACAGCATTGTAACCGTAGACATGTCGTTTTAAAACATTCGCAATGCATTGGGCTTAAATATATATATGTATATATATATATATATCATGCGGAACGCCTGCTTGCTGGGACGTTGAAGTTTTCTTTTAGCTTTCTTGTATCGTAAAGTCAATTAAAATAAGTTCGATCCATTTGTACAGTCATTGCTTGTAACACTTGACAGTATCGCTGCAATAAAAGCAAACATTGAGGCCATTCATTTATTATCTTTTTGCATTTACTACTCTTGTCGTTGATTAGTAAACTACAATTGAATTTTCCCACGGTTAATAATTTTGTACATAGATATAATACTAAGTTAGTTATACAACATAATGATTTTTTTTCTATAATGTATGACAGTGCCTTCCACGTAGATAGGTCTCTCATATAACATTTTTAACGAAAGTTTTTGAAAAAAAAAATTATTACCTTTCCTGCACTTTACGCGTTGCCAGATTCCCTGCGGGAATTTTTCATTTGTTGTCCATCTTTATTAGAAATTACATTAATAATTCCATTGCATTTAGCTATCACAAAGTTGCTCGTTTAACATGATGAATACTGATTTACATCCCTAATTTTGTATATTTCCGCTTGTAACACGTTTTTCCCAGATCTCCGAACTGTAATATATTTTATTGATTTTTTGATATGATATATAAATCCATAAAATTTGCATCAACCCCCATTTATGCACGAGACCCGAAAATCGATGAAAACGGTTGAGTCTACTGTTACTGCTTTTGATAATACTGGTGTATTATCGACGACGTAGTGAGATGACGTAATGAATATTTGTCCTTTCAGAAAAATCTGTGTCGTTTGAGAAATCGGTATCATTTAGCGATGATCCACCAGACATGAACTCCCCTAAACAGCATTCGCCTCAACACTCAGGTATGTATACACACCATTGTATGTTCATTAACTGTGCCGCGATTAATCATCACAACTTAATAGATGCATCTTTTAAGTATAAGTTTCGGGTTTAAATAAATAAAAGTTTTATCTGCTGGTGGCCAAGCACATCTATTTATTACCCAAAGTAAAATTAAAATGCTATAACGTATATAAAAACCGGTTATATATCAAGATACAAATTACTTACAAAGATACTGGAAATATCCGTAATAACATATTTTTTATTACTTTTTATACCTCATGTAGTATCTGTTTGAATCCGGAGTTTCAATCTTAATTGTAATAATTAATTGATGTATTAAATAAGTATAGTAAAAGTTGATCAGTTTTTCATTTTAAGTGTTGGTAAATCAACAAGTATTCGTAATTATATCGCCATCTTTCACTCTTGTAGTTAAGATCATAACCATATTCATAACTCTTGTATTTGATTTCTTTCCGCTTACTTCTTTGCCATAACAAGCTGATACAAAACCAGCTAAACCGGCAATCAAATCATCTACTTTGCCGAGGACATCTTCACAAGGTAACTGTTTGAAATAAATTGCTTTAAAAACAAATTTTGGAAGCAAAGCTTGAATTAAATCACGCATCACAATTAGTTTATTTAACCCTTAATCCAATATGAAAACGTTTTGATTACTTTTAATATTCGTGTATTTTGCTATTTAATTTTTCTATATTTGTTATTTTTAATTTTAGTTTTCAGGTTTTATATGGGATGTTGGCACTGTATACATAAACCGTGACCAATAACTGATTAACGATTAATATTTTCTTATTTTAATATTAATCTGTAAGGACGACTATGCTGGTTTTTTCACGCTTTTAGTTTGATATTGAATCGGTATCATGAATGTTGTTTGAAGTACTGCCAGTCAGGTTGGACGTAGAACCAACGATTGCTTGTATTGCAGAACGCGATCGTTTGAAACCAGCCCCACCTCCGAAGCCCGCTGGTCTTGTGGGTCAGCAGATGCCATTGCCTCCTCAACGGACCCAAACCCTAAACGTTGGTCCCGACTTTTTCAATCAACTGCGTATGCTCCAAAAGCAAAGCCATGATCTCAGGATTGAGGTTGGTTCAATAATTTTATAACATTGCGTCATTGGTTATGACTATGCGAATGTTTGTGCGCAATGGCAACAAGCGATTTTATAAATTCTTTTGCGAAAGTCCGCCTTGCGATTGCGTCCGTAATGCATGTTCCGTAGTTCTCAAGTTCTGCATAATTTGATTCGCAGACACGCAACTTACGACGTTCAACGTTGTCGCAAGCTATTCAAATGAGGCAACTGATGGCCGAAACGATTGTCAAGATTGGTGACATTGCGGCAAGCTTTTGCGAGCATGATCCTGACTCGGTGCGTAAAGAGTGATAATATAAATATTAAAAATCTCCCGGTGCACAAAGGAAGAACTTTACGAAGATATTGGCGTGTTTGGAAAAATTGTGAGAGTAAAATTAAAAGCACCGTACTTCACGGTATTACTGTCTTTACATGCCAACCCAATAAAAAGTTTTTGACATTTACCTATAATTCAGAGTTATAACCGTTATCAATTGCATTTAATGTATTTGTACAAAAAAGAGTATAACTTCTTACGTGCGTACATATACACCTTTTTATACAAATTTATATAAATTAATATATACTTTTTATACTTTAAAAATTATGTGCTTAGTGCTATAAACAAATTCAAAGTTTAACATTCACTTCTTAGCAGCTCACTAGAGAAGAAGAAATATATAGACAGGACATGTTGCTCCTTGAAAACGATCTTTACGAATTGGAGGCCACCGTGGAGAGACTGCGCGGCCAGGCCGCTAACAGGTAAAAAGAAGTTATCATAAATGTAAATACAAAATTATAATTGAATGTTAGTAACGCACAATGTGTTTCGTGTCGTAGGGAAACGCGCGTAAATATGGCTGACATAGAGCGCATTGCTATGGTTCTCTCGAAGAGCAGCAAAACGGTCGCTGATTGGAAACTGAAATTCCCGATTCTTCAAGATACAATGAAGGTCAAATTGGCATCGGAAATGGAGAAAGTAAGTAGGCGTAATCGTCGCGGAGAATCGTTATGGAGAATGTGACAGCATACGCTTATTTAATGTTTCATGTCAGGTGGTACGCAAAGAAAAAATGCTGGAAGATGAACCGGAACGCCTAGAGCTGGCACTCCGTCGTTGTAAGAAACTAACCGGAACCTTAGTTACACTTAAAAGGTAACTTTCACAAAGTTTAATATTAATTTGCGATGAACGAATCTTCATTTATACAACTAAACTTATAACAGATACATATTTCCGGAGTATTACAGATTAAGTAAGCAAGAAAAAAACATGAGTTAAAATTATAACCACGGGAATCACTTAAGCCGATGTCCTTGACCGAATCGTAAATGTTTAATGTAATGTACAGGCTAGCCTGCGTACAAGAACAACGCCTTCCCATCACGGATGGACGAATTTCGCCTGGGTCTTCGCAAAGCTCCTCACTCACAGCTGGTCCATCGTCCGAGGAGTTTCCCCCTGAAAATACTTGCCCCTTGTCGGCTTCCCACAACAAGGTAAAAGACATAAGAGCCTATTCTTTAATGTATGTATGAAATTTCGATGGGAAAAAAATAACTGCTTAAACCAGCTTCGAATCACTACGAGTGGTTTAAAAATTTCCGAAGTGAACAGATTCCTTCCGTATTTGAAAACTTTAATATTATAAAATATACATGGACCATTTTATTTACAGATGAAATTAGGCAGGTATCTTAATTAATAAAAATTCAGTTTCAGACGTTTACATCATTAAACATTGTGTAATCGCTTAACAATTGCAGGTTTGCCAAAAGTTTAAAATTTGCATTTTTTTCCATTTTTTCAATTTGTTTGCGTTAATAATTCATGTTTTTATAATTTGCTCCCCGTCACCCCGACGGCTTTTTATATATCAAACTATATATTGAACGTAAAAAATTGTATCAGTTAGATAAACGTCGCTTTTTCAACTGTCTAAGCATGTTCCCTTTTTTTCTTGGTCTCCAATTCTTGCATGCCTTTCTTTGTAGTTCGAGCTTAGTTTTTTTTATATCCTAACACTAATTCTAGTGAGTTTTGTATCGGAAGCTTATTCTGAAATTAGTTTAGAGTTATCTAAAACTAATTAAACCAGCTTTCATCAACGTATGGTGGAATATATGTTTTGTGTTTTGATTATTTTCTGATGTATTCTGGATATTGCTGTGAATTGGTCCCAAATTTTATAAAGAACACTAATGAAACATGAAATTGTCTAAGTCGAATTTGGCATCCAAGTTAAAAGAAATGGTCATTTAATGAAAATTCGTCACGCTCTGTCGTATTGCTGTGATAATTTTAATGGTTTCGTTACGAATTTTTAATTTTGTCAATATGTCACTAACAGTTACCGAAAATATTTACGAAAAATACCGAAAATTGTACAAACCTTTTTTCAAAATTTATATTAACAAACTTGAAAATATTAAGCACTTTTGGTAAATTTTGTAAAAGTATATTCGAAATTTTGATTGTTTTTTATTTGAAAGAAAAACTTACTCATTTTAAGTGTACACACCTCGACCCGAAAAATAACACGGATAGACAGAGTGTGATGCAAGCTTTACAGAATACAGCAAGTTTAAATTCTTTTGCACATATCCTTCAACCAATTGCACTGTCCGTAAACTTCGTATTAAAACTCAAACCTTGCTTCCGGAAAATAATGCCAATTTTAATTCACGTAACCATTAAAAAAACTGCAATAATGCAAACAATTATTGTTAGCGCATACATTTCCCAGATTTGTTATATTTCAAACGATGCGCAGCGGTCTTGCTCTTTGTGGAGTGTGACGTATAGATCTCATAGCCAAATCATTTACCCGTGTCGTACATTTACTTCTTTACGCAGATAATTTTGATTGTTTATGGAAACAACTGGCGGCAAGTAGTAACGAAGTAATCGAAAAACTATGTGCAAACAATTACGGTGCCTTGTGCCAAAGACCGCTTGCGGCTGGTTCCTACTACTGTTCTCTTTACATGTTACTGTGAATTACTGTTTTCTGTCACTCTTGTCGTGTTATTTTAATGATGGATTTCGTCGTCTTTTTCCCATCATGGTACCCACCAGTTCGCCTGGAGACAGAGCCAATACTTCCGGGAAGCCATAGTTATTAACGAGTAATAAATATCTTCGTAATATATCTATATTATTATAATAATTATTATTATTATCATTATTATATTCATGACCTACGTTTCGATTTTTTTTCCAATATTATATTCCACGTCCGTATTTCACATTATTATACTTTTTCTGTAACTTATTAACACGAATCGCTATCTCTATGTAGGCATGTCCATGCACAATGGTACACGATGCTTTAGCAATATTGTGATTATGCTACTTCAAAACTTTTGTATTTATCAGTAACAATATTGGAAACTTACAGAATTTTGCATATTTTTTCCAGTTCAGACAGTATTGAAAGAATCGGTACGCATGCTTACATACAATATTATTGTCTAACATTGTTTAGTACGTTGAACTTGAGCGTGTCAATGAAGAAAGCATTCCTGTGTTCTACTTACTATCACGTATTTACAAAGTCCGTCTTCTTTATTGATGCTAAATATATAAAAGTGCTATCTGCAATGACACTATAGCTTCTATTGCATTTAAATGACGCAAATTTCGAACATAGTAAAATTACGATTTATTATACAACTTTTTCAGCTTCGTAAATATTTAGAGCAAATTTTGTGTATAAACGAAAATTGTGCAATTACCGTTGCTGTCGTTCAGATCGTAGCCTGTTGTTATTATAAAGATATGTAGAATTTTTTTTTTTTCTGAACGAGTCTTATATTTGTTTATTCTGATTGAAAAATGCACATGGTTGTATATTAAAACGCCCAGAAATCCTGTTGTAGTGTAATTTACAAGTTTGTTTGTATGGAACGACTTTAGTTAAAGTGTATTTCAAGTTTTGTAAGTATTTGTAATTTTATAAAGAGTCATTATACATTCTCAATAATACGGCCAATTTAAGGGTATATCAAACAAGGTGTTGTCTACAATAGTCTGAGTTGATGGACGAAAGTAAACGATTATTTGAGTTTTTTTTCCCGAGGTTCAGGCTAGGCGTCTCGAGCGCCCGGCCACCTCAAGCCCGTCGGATCTGTAAAAGCCCCTAAGGCCAACAGTGACTGATCCAGCCCCAAAAAAAAAGAGCTGCTATACCCAACAATATTTATTGGTAACCTAAAATACGTAGTATGTATGTATTATGACTCTTTCGAGTTATTTGGACAAATGAAGACGCAGGAACAATAAATTAATAAGACCCGAATTGTTTCATAATTATTATGTACATTTATTATCGTATCAAAGGATAAAATTTAATATTCTTAAAAAAAAATCCAAAAACTTCAAAGACAATATTTGTCCGAGTAACTGGCATTTTAAATATGACGCATGTGGTTTTAGTAATTATATATGCTTCACAATAGTTTGTGCATCTTGCCGTTTTGTTTTGTTGCAGTACTTTGTCAGTAGAAGATGCAGCTCACAGCCTAGAAATTCCGGATTACCATAATGCCCCCTAACGCCCCCACCAAACCAATGGGGGTTCAACCCTATAGTGTTCTATCATCGACCTTGACCTCTCATTAACGTTTAGTTCATTAGATCCTTTAAATTTCAATAGTTTAATCTTCTCACCATCAACAACACTTTCAACTTCCCCCGTTTGTTTCTTAAGAACGTACTTCGTCGATTTTTTTAACTTTCTATTTTCTCCCTCTGTCTCATTTTTCCCTTTACTATCTTACTAAAGTAAGAAATATATAAACTTCAGGTTCTTCAACGTTTCTATGTCATCCCTCGCCTTGCCTCTTTCTAATCTTAAACTGAAATCGCGGTACCGAAATAGACTAACCCAAGCATCTGGAGCACAGGTAATTTCTACATATTCTTTTTTTATTTTATTTAAATCTGCTTCCGATAAGACTATCATATTAAAGACTTTCTCTGTAAAAGTGCACATTGAATAATCAGTATCTAACTCTACGTTTTATTGTAGTTCGTGCAAATCACTTGTGCTTTTAATTAGTTCTTATTCTAAAAACAGTCACAGCGACAAAGCTTCGTTTGAAAAGTAGAGGGTCGTTGGAACTAGGTCACGGTACACATTTATTTGAAATTTTCGACTAATGGCAAAATCGTCACAATTGTTAAGGATGTGATTTTCAAGCGTATTTTTGTGCATTCTTTTTTATCACCGAAACTTAAATAAATATCTCAAACCTTTTCTTATTCACATTCGTTCGGCGTGTCTAAGTATTCCCCATAATTATGTACTATTTCGGCCTGTACCCCTTATCCATCACGAACACCATATTTCGGTTTTACTTTACACACATCATGGGCAGCTCAATCATATTATTCATTTTTTGTCGCCACATATGCAAACTAAAGTAATAAGGGTCATTTAATTTCACTTTTAAAATGTAAAACAGAACAAACAAAGTAATTAATATCTGGCGACAAGAAAGAGAACGCCTCATGTTTCAAATTTACTCATTTGATATATTTTTTGAATGATTGTGGAAGCATTTCAATTAGTCTATCAATCAATCATTATCGTGTACACTCAGTGCCATCAATGGATTTATTTGAATGGTTGTTATCAATGTTTTCGTTCAGTATGTGTTTTAATATTATACGAAGGCGCTCTTGCAACGCGTTTGGGGGCAATTTCAAATGGAGGCCCCGTGAGCGTTGCCGCTTCGCCTTCAGCGCGGCTTGAAAACGCCGAGCGAATATCGAAACGGTCCGAATGGTGCAGGGCACCGGTGGCGGCTCCATGCGACCCCCAGCGGCCAGGGGAGCAGCGGACGTGCGCACAGAGAACGCCCTCGACGCGCTATTAGACGAGCTCCAAACCTTCGCCAAGCCAACGGAGCGCGGCGGCAGGGGAGAGGGGCCCCTGCGCCGGCTGCACTCCTACCCCAGTGGCAGTGACACCGACGCCTCGCCGCCCGTCCGCGCGCGCGGCCAGCACCCCCCCAAGCCGCCCGTCCCGGAGCGCCACCCGGAGCTCTTGGCGTTGGCCGCGCGGAGGGCGCCCCCGCCACCGCCGCCCCGAACCACTTCCAGGTCCCCGCTCGCCTCCCCCACCTCGCCCCCGTCCCCCCCGCGCGCCCCCTCAGACACGAACGACGACGACATGGGCAACACGCGCCAGGCGCTCCTCGAACAGAGGCACCAGGAGCTGCTGAAGAAACAGAGGGCCCTCCAGGAGCAGTACGCGCGGCTGCAGGTGATGCACCGCAGCGGGCCCGCAGTGCCGCACAGCGTGCAGCCGGACCTAAAGAAGACCGGCAGCGAGTCGAACCTGCTGACCAAGATGAGGCTGAACATGGCGACGGCCAACATGTCCGGCAGCATGACCCATTTGGCGGGCGACGGCGACAGGAGGGGCAACGACACCGCACCTACACCGAACACGCCCAGCCCGCAGCCGCCGCAGGCGACCGACGCGTTAGCCACCACTAACAAGGTTTACGAGACTGACATACTGTGACCACGTAGTCGTCGCATTTGGTAAAAGTTTGTAATCGTTTTGATCCCAGTTTTATATCCTATTAGTAGCTATGAGTTTTTTGATATCTGTGACATTTTTAGATGTGATGTACAGATTTTGGAGTCTTTTGCAAGTCGGGGGTTGACTTTCTAGCGCGTGTACGGCATTACCCTACGACTCCCATCCCAAGCATTGATCCCAACGGCTTAGGTCATCAGAAAAACACAATCCCAGCGTTTATTCCCCGTTTCAATAAACTGGCCTTAATAAAACAACAACTTGGCGCGAACACCGGCATCACTGAATAAATGACAATGGATGAATCAAAAAACCCAAAAAAAAAATTAGTAGTTAACTATCATTAATCTCAAGTTGTGTCAATGATATCTATATAAACAATAGTGTAAGTATTATTAGAAACTATACGAAGTCATATTCTTAGGTATCACAAGTTATATGCTTGAAATTCTTCTACCATAGCGTTGATAATATTTTTAACTAAATTATTTTTACTTCGCAATATATTTAAAGGTTGAGGTTACGATGTTATTGTCTGATTTTTTAATCCAAACAATTTATCACTCACGCGCAAAATAGACAATGATGGAAATATATGTCTCATTGCCGATCTAAAATTGTGAATTTTCCATAATAAACATTTCTGTTTAAAATACTGTCAGTAAAAAGTTTTAAGTCTCACGTATTTACTGATTTTTTTTATTATTTACTATTTCAATGGCGGAAGAGCAAATTTTGTGCCGCGCAGAATATTTCATGGTTGCATTACCGAAATACATTTAACTGACGAACTAAGGTTAAGGGTAACTTACATAAAAGCGGATAAGCTCACAAGATATTAAGCACAAAATAAAAAATCTCGCCGCGTTAATTCGCCACTACTAACACAAAACTTGTATTTATGTAGTTTCGTATCTAATACACACTAGTAATATGCTATTGGTATTGTAAATACATAATATGACATACTATAAATTAATCATCATATTATAAGTCGGTAACATTAAAGCTAAACTAAAACTATGCCCTAGTATCGCGTTTCTATGTCCTTTCACGACTGTCGTGCCAAATTATTATTATTTCGAATCACCGATTTGTTTATTAAAATGATCACTACCTAATACCTATTCAACAGTGATTCCACCATTCCTTCCTCTCTCCGTTATATTTTAATAATTCCGGCTTTAAAACTTACGTCAAACGAAAACATCCGCACAACGAAAATTGTATCGTACGAACCTCTAAAATGTATCTTGTTGTATGTAATATTTCTATCTTAATTTTGCTGTTCATGTGTGGGAAACATCGATCATCTGAGAAACGGTTATTCTTTATATATTATATTTTATTGTTAATGGAGGAAAAGTGATTACTTTATGTGTTAGCGATACTGTAGTCGAACTGAACACGTGGTTTTACTTTGTAGTACTCTGTTCGTTATGGCATACGTCTATGCAATCGTTTCGCATTGCAATCGCCCGGGAAGGCAATGTCACAGCTGCGTTTCGATTTAACCGTTACGTGATATTGGCACGCGCACTTTGAACCATCAGTTAAATATGAATACAGTTAATTTAAATGATACTCAATAATATCAACATGGTAAATTGGATAATTGTAATTGAACACTCACGTTTAGACTCAAATATGATATATCCATTAGAAAACTTACTGAGTCTAGTTACTTAAATATAAATTGCAAATCCACACCTTCGATTTAGTGTGGGGTGGGAGAGAATTGGTCCGACACTAAAAGTTTCAAATTTAGATTCAATTATAGTTTTTGTACATGATTACTTTCCGAGATATTCTCCAAGTCTACGAGTATATGTTATAATTATAAATGTTAGCGTTACACCAATTATTTGCACACGAAATCGGCGCATCCGCATAGAAGTATTCAGTGCAACACAGTCAATTTTGATTCTGATTTACGCTGCTAAAGATAATTTCTTTTTAATTCCCATATCAGTGGCAAGTCGAACTGGAGCCTACTATTTTCACAGTCTTCTGATTGCTCACAAGTTTATTAATAAATTATTTATGCACACAATTCAGCACATAGCTTAGAAAGAAACGGAGCTATGACCCAATGATATTTGTAATTAGCGTTACGTGCTAAATTTTAACTGCTTCTCTTGAAATTATGTTTAAAGCAACTGTTTATCGTAAGTATGCCTAACTATATTTTCTACTGTTTGGTTTGAATATTTCTTTTTATTGTTGTCAACCCTGTTTACATCTGTTTTCTTAACTGTTATGCAATCGATTTAATTTTTAAATATATTTTATGTCAATTAGGTTACCATCGTATTTAATGAATTATAAAGGAATATTTTTTTATTTCCTCGTGATCTATTAATCGTTCCGTCGACTTTTATTGTTATTATTTCTAAAACTTTTACAATTTCTTTTTTGTTTTACCGTTTTTACTTATTCTTTGAAAGAGATATTAAACTGTTACGAAATGTTTTGACGATTAAAATTTGTTTTAATGTTATATAGATATTAGGAAATTAAATTGAGTTACCTAGTAAAATTGAAGTAATAAATTTGTGGATCGTCTAAAATGTTCATCTAATCTAATCGACTCAAAAAAAATGATCAGATAGATAATAATTATTGTTCCTTTGTAAACAGATATCATTTTATATTTTTCGGAACATATCGACATGCAAGCTCGGTCAATATTAGCTGAGTGAACGAAATGAATTAGAAGAATTTTCTTTCGAATCTATGCATATATGTATATGGGGAAATTTAGTTAAAGTTTTATCACTTCATCATGCTTTGTTCAAATATTTACGTGTACTAACATTATTTTAGATTCTAAAAAAAAATTTAACACCCGAATGAGAAAGAACTAGAACTTTCTTTATCGCTCTGAAAAACTTTAGCAATGTGCAATTCGTTCTATGTCATATTAATGCATGTAGAACTAATAAAAAGAAACTATTTCATATTTATTTTAACATTCCTATCCATTATTTTGTCTTTGTATACAATATTTTTGGGATATTAAACACACAAGTACTTAGTTGTTAAGCTTATACAGTAACTTCACGCTGTTATGTGCCAATATTCGTCAGAAATGTTTAATTTCTAATCGTCAAATATTAATTATGTATTCCGTACATTAATCGAATTTCCTTTAAATGTGTTCAATTCGACCGTTCTTCATAACATAAGCTTCAAGCTGCATGAACGATTTGTTGTTGTACTTTATTAATTATTATTATTGTTTACTTATACTAGTGTTAATTGAAAAGCTAAACCAAGATAGCTTGAAGATATTTTAATGTGGATTTAAATAAATATATACACGTCAAGTTAACGGTTGTTTCATTTGCGACTGACGCCTTACTAATGTATTGCAATTAATTAAAAAAAAACAGTCAAATATTAAAAACATTATGTGCGTCTAAAATCATGCTTTAAAGAACAGACGGTACTAGACTTAATTGACTCGATCGATTTACTGCAGCTTATCGCATTTTTTTTTTTACACTTTACAATTATAAAATTTTACTTCCATTCGATATAGAAAGTAACACGAATTGCCTACTCGTCAATTTCACGTTCAGTATTCAACAGAAAAAACAAGGCATAAATTTATAACACGATGCTAACATTCCCGATAGCGTTTCTTTTCTAGGCAAGTAAGTAACATATGACATTTCACATGGCTCAGGAATTTCCCTATTCTTTCCCTGATAACGATTTGCAATATATTTTATCTATTTTAATAATCAGTTCTAAGCCTTTCATCCTACTTATTAGACATGATAATTATCAGTGAACGTAATAGTGGTTCTCTACCGAACACGACAAAAACTTCAGCTGTGAAGCTCACAGCGTAGAGCGACGTTTCACTAAACTATTTCGATTTAATTACTCTTTCAATATGAACAGGTATTTTAATGCGGGCACGGAACAAGCTTTTGTTGGACCCATTAGGGTTCTGTTACTTGCTAACATACTGATGAAAGCTGTTAATAAAATGTTTTGTTAAAAGTGTGGCAAAATTGGGAACAGCGAAAAATTTTGCGGTACACAATTTCAAGTTTCACATAATATTTCAAGCGCTGAAAATTTAATTTCAAAAGGCTTGATGACTCCTTCGGCGAACGACCCTCGAGGTTCGATTACCACACTTAATGCATATTTGAGTGACTCACATATAAAATGTTTCGGATCTGGGCGATTGTCGACGTGAAATTTATGTTTGTGTTTTACAGTATTGTAATACACGATAGGGGTATTCTAAAATTAGGGCGATATAATAAAAAAAAAAGAAATAATGACCTCACATATATCTTGCCGCGTGTATAATGATACACGAACGCACTTGTAATAACTATCTCTTTTTATCTCACATATTAGTAAATTAAATTAATTCTTTATACATTTTTGGACGATTAAATAAGTAAAACCGATGATCGGTATATAACTTTCATAACATAAATTTTTAAGGCCAAAACTGTATAATTATAAATTATATTGAATACTAGCTGACCCGGCAAACGTTGTTTGGCCCTATACATTAAAAAATGTTTGGGGTGGACCACCCTTAACATTTAAGGGGATGTAAAATAGATGTTGTCCGATTCGCCACCTTGGCCGATATGTACACAGAATTTCACGAAAATCGGTCGAGCCGTTTCGGAGGAATTCAATTGCAAACATCGTGACTCGAGAATTTTATATATTAAATTAATGGATACAGCCGTTTTTAGAATTACTTTGTAGTGATGCGAAATCGTTGATGTGAACGACATACATAATATATCGATAAGGCGCAAAACGTACATAATATACGAAAGGCTATTTTATGTAAGGTACACTTACCTTACATAAAATAGCCTTTCGGATACCCTGTCACGTTACATGACAGGTTTATGTAAGGTTCTTACCGACTAAAACCCCCTCGGTGGCCACCCTCTGTACGTTTGGAGGGATTCAATTATTTGGAGCAATTT